CACTTGTACTTGCAGCTGCACTCAGTGTGATTTTAGAACAAAATAAAATGTTAATATTCGCCCATGAAGTGGATTTAGAGCAGCCATAATCATGCGTGGCTTCTTTGTGACCCGGTACCTTGGAGAGGCTGTTCAGGGAGTCCTGCACCTCCTTCAGCCTGCATCTGGGTCTTTCCTCCTGGGAGAGGAGAATGTTGCTGCGAATGCTGAGCAGAGCTGAGAGCTGTGACTCTGAGGTGTCAGCGCAGGCAGAACTCAGGACCTCCTCCACCATGACAGCCGTACAGCAGCTCTGGCAACAAAAACCAAGATGGTAGAAAGACGATGCCCAGCAGGTTCTGGTCTGTGGTACTGAGAGAATGATCTCAGAGCAGGTCCAAAGGTTCTGAAGCAGTGAGGATGTGAAGGTGACCTGAAGCTGCACCTGAAACAGGGCCAGGTATTGACCTGCCGCTGCAGGGTCATGCTGTCCGTGACACTCCAACAGATTCAGGGCGGACTCAGCCAGGACGGAGGAGGACACGTGGTGCTGGAGACCCAGGTTGACGGCCTCAGACAGAACTTTACTGGACTCGTCCAACAGCTGCTGAGCTCGGCGTCTTCCCTGGAACATCACAGAAGGAACACAAAGAAATATGAAACAATAAAGGGACGTTTGAGATGGTCATTGTTTGTTCCATACAATGATGACATTAGTTCTCTGCATTTAACATCACACCTGAGAGACGCCCACGTGGAGCAGTGGGCAGCTGTGTAAGTGTGGGGGGAGCAATGGGGGATAAAGTGTCTTGCTCAGAGACACCACAGCATGTGGAAATGTCTGGGAGTCAAACCGAGACTTTCTGGTCCCAAGTCAGCAGCCCTACCTCTACCCCATAATCTCACATATAACTTGTTCATAGTGTTACTATGGACCCTATGGACTCTCCCTTTATGAACGTTTCTAGTATTATACATCAGCCGAACCATCAGCTAAATGTAGAACCCTTCAGCTTTATGGAATGCTGCAGCTGTGTTCACACTGCAGGTGGAAGCCACGTCTGATTTTTTTATCACATTTAATCTGATTGTTTCAAATCTGACTCGGGTCTTTCTGACGTGTGGTTCTGAATCAGATCCATATCTCGTGATTTTCAACGTGACCTCAGTCTGAACTCCATCTTCGTCCCTTTGCAGGCCGAGATCAGCAGCACGAGATCAGTTGGTGTCGGGTCGTAGCCAGGGCTGCTGGAACAGGATCCGAGAACTCTTTAGTGTGACAGGGTGCGTTCTGGTAACTCTGAGGCTAATAATAATAAATAATAAAGTTAGAAGAAATTTGACTGGAAAGAGCTGGTTGCTGGTATTAAGA